ACTTTTCGCGTTATATCCGATGGGCTCAAGGCCAACATCAAGAAGTGTCTAAAGAAATGGGGTTCAGAAAACTCAGTTGCCATCGTGAACGTACCCCCCTTCAATCAAGAAGTCTTGGTTTCAAGCAGGCGGTCAGTGTCCACCCCTTATTCTACCAAGAACTTTACTTGATGCACTGACTCAATTTTCTGCCATGCACTACCAGGTTCGCTATACAAGAAAATTGCGCCCATGTTTTCAATGGGGGAACCTCTGGGAATTTTCCGAAAATAAGTACTCCTCAAGGTTCGAGCATTCCACTTTATACGTCCGCCCTCACTGAAGGAAAAAATTTTCTCATTCTAACCCGAATACATGTTTCTACCACAAGTAGCGTAAAAATGTCTTGTCGTAATGGCACGTGCTTTTCGGCTATCTAAGAAAGAATAAGTCTAAATACGGGGTCTGAACGATGCCGATCAGCAATCGTCAGATCGCTAAGCAGATCTGCAATAGCTACTGTTTTGTCTACTCCTACCTCAAGGATTCTGAGACATACGGTGCCAGAGAAACCACTGACCACATGATGAAGCTATGTGCAAGGAATGAACGGCAAATTTGAAGGCTCTCCTGCAATACCGGCCGTAGTTGATCAGATCCGTGCAGTCTTGAGGCTACCTGGCTACGGTCTGGAGGGCTACCAGGCGCAACAATAACATTGTGAGGAAAGTTATGAAGAGAGCACCACACCTCACAGACCTTCATAAATCTACCCGTCTCGAGTTTTCCCGAGACATGCGACGGATTGGAAGCAGGTGCTGTGAGGTTAGCAGTGCTTTTCATGCTTCGAAGTGATTCCGCGAAGTTAGGTAACCTTCTCGACGAGAAAATTCTAATTTGATGGCTATCGATCCTACTGGCATGATCTCAAGAAAGATCCAGTACAGTTCAGTCGGCGAAACTTCGGCGGCGGTTCGTTGATGGTTCGGGGAGCATGCAGTTGGAAAAAAGTTGGAGCTAGCATTTGCTACTCATCGAATGGATTTGCGAGGGTTTCGAGAAGGTTTGGAGTCCAACTTATTGCCATTCATTGACCGGTGGCAACCGAAGACGCTAATCTTCCAGCAGGATAATGCAAGTGTCCACGCCAGCATTGTCCACAGATATTATGAAGTGGCCTGCATACAGTCCTGATCTGAATCGCATAAAGACCTTATAGAGGAGCGTTGTTCGACGGGTTCACTGTAATGGCATGCAGTTTTCTACAATCGACGAGCTGAAAGATGCGATCATGGATGTGTGAGAAGTGTTGATTCTGCGATTCTCAAGAACCTGCTAGCAAGTATGCCACATCGACTGATGGAACTGCCTTTGAAACAAGGAACACTAATTGATAACTAATCAAGCTGTAAATCAGATGGACGTATATTATGAAATGGCCAAGATTCGTAAAGACGCTTGTAAAAAGAAACCCTGGGCGTGAAAATCCTCGAGATCACGTGTGTCATTGTGTTCCTTAGTAGCCAATCTGATGGTGCATGTCAAAGAATTGAGCTATTACCCGGGGAATGTTCTGGTGAAATGAAGGGTGACGTATAATAGTGAAAAGTGAAAATTGTATGCACCAGCGCCTATGTACAACCTCGAACTGTGTGTTCTGTCCAGTTTGCCTCAAATCGTCAGCCTTATAAAGCTTATACACGAATCTCGTGAAAAGTTCAAGAGAACAGCTCATTACTACTGCCTCCGTTCATTCAGTCTTTAGCATTTTTCCAGTGCATGGTCATCGCTTGGAATGTTTTCATCTATGTTACGGACTTTGTGATTTTCTAATGGCTGCTTTCACAGTCCACGATTTAGCCCGCGACCGGTTGCGGGCCAAGTCTGGACGATGAAAGCAGCCGTTTTGCGAGTGTAGAGGTCAACCTACTCAGACGTCATCCCTACCAGCTTGAATTAGAGATGAATTTCTCTTTCCGGAATCTCCGAAAATTAGTCTTTGAAGTTTTATAAGTTCTTTATTAACATAGTTGCCAGCTGAGCTGCTAGCGAAGGTGCTGCATCATACAATTTTTTTGTTTCGAACATCTAGCATTTAACTGATGATCATTCTTGCGAAGATGGTCGCCATGTAACTCAAAACCAAAAAGATAGTAGAGAATGAAGCACTCTGCCGTCCAGCGAGTAGTTTCCTGGAACAACGGGAGAACGGCACAAATTGAATCCCATTTCGGAATCACTGGACTCACCAAATGATTGGAGGAATAGTCATAAACGGACTCAGAGGAACGGAAAAACGGTGTAAGCTGAATATTTCATTGAACAAATTGTTGTCGTCGAAAAGTTGCCGTTCTTTTCGTTGAATTGGTGGTTGTTGTTATCGTTGCTGTAATGGGCATTGAGAGGAATGTGTCCTGAAAGAGTACAGTGAGCCTCTGCTACAAAAGCAGCCTAATGTCCTGGCAGTCTTCTTGAGTTGTGTGCGGATCTCCTCCGTTTTTGCAAACCAAATGGCTTCATCAATTTGCTCCCTAATAAATGGAACATCGAAGGCTACCGTTATGTGAGTGTGCGCGACACGATAACGCAATGTCGAGCCCTGTGAAAGGAAAGAATTTAATTTCCAAAGGAAGGTTACAGTACTTGTTGCGATAATCAATGCCGCTTGCCATTGGAGTTCTGTTACGAAACTCGCCACCTCTACTATTCAGTTGGCTTTTGTGTGTTCCTACCCTATCCTTGTCATGTTTGGGTACCATATGGAAGCGCAACCAATCCTCTTTTTCGGTTGACAGACCACCTGTAGTGATGTACCTCCAGCTCTAGGCAGTTGCAGGTACCGATTCCGTTACTACATGGATATTGTACGGAATGTTTTCTTATGCTTTCTTGGTCCTGTTATCTTGTGAGACACAACAGGGCTGGTTCTTCATTGGACCAATAGGAAACGCTCTAAAATTGGGTTTTGTGATTTTACAAGGAACGCGCGCGAGCTAATTATTCTAACCCGTTTGCAGCTTCGTTCTGGATGGGGTGCTCAGTAGAATAAATCGTGTTCAAGCTTCAAACTATTTTAAGACTCAAGGACGAAGATGAGATGGAGACTCTCAAATATTCAACAATCACTCTCAGAAGATATTTCGAAACGCTGGATCGATTGCGACTAATCTGCTGTCCTTGACACAAAGTGACTGAATGTCCACTTTGGGGGTCATGGTGGTGCGACATGTGGGCGTGGTTGTCGTGTAGCAGAAAAGCCCGAGTGGGGTGCAGTCGAAACGGAATTGTCGCTCCGCCACGAGAGTGACGTCGTGGCCGAATTAATGTAGCAGAATGAAGCAGAAGCATCGCAGCGAGTCAAAAATACAGGAACAAAAGAAGTAACAGTAGAATCACGTTTAAGGAGTGATCGCATATCTCCCAGAAAGACTCGCCACAAGAGGCTGCAGTTTTAGAGTTCCGAAGCAACTCAACAGTATCGGTGGGAACAGTAGGTGTATGCGTCAACGGAGTGGTGCAGCCACCTAGAAGATCGTAGTGATGCGGGCATCGTACACTTCACCAAACCCAGAGGATGACCTTCCTCGTATCAAGCTCATCCTTCAAACCGACGATGCCTGTTGATCTATATACGAACCCCTCAACATCTCTGGAGTAATTCGAATAGCCTACCCACTTCTCGTCCCTAGTAAGGATCTTGTCGAGCTAGTCGAAAACTTAATTTCTGGATAGCAATCTTTGGCAGATCATCACCCTTGTCCGCATAGCGGCCTCACTCAGCTCGCGTAGAATCCATCTCCTAAGCAAATTGACGGGTAGTAGAGTTCGGATCGTTTTGCAACAGATCCTCAATCCGATCGTGGTCTGTGGTCGGTGAGGGTCGCGACCGTAGTTCGTCTTTAAGGTAACCCTGAAAACAAGCCTTTTCGCGTGCCTTGATTCTTCTGCTGCACGAACAGTATTGCCACAGGCTTTGCTTTCAGGGTGTCTGGAACGAAACCGGACAATGAGAACCTGTCAATATGAGTGGAAATGGACGGTATTGTTGCTGCACAAAGACAAGTAGGGACGTTCGAGTTTGGCGGTGCAAACATATACTAAGGTCCCTTCATAACTCTATGGCGGGGAGAATATGAACTTGTTTTGGAAAATTTGGCATTTATTACAGAATAGTATAATCCAACAAGTGAACTCAAATTTTCTGTGACTATTCAGATTTTCCTGACGATAAAAAACAAAAGAAAATAGCTCTCTACTGTGCCATTCTTAATAATGAGCGCTTTATTTACTAACAGATCGTCTACGGCCTGCGAAGACCTTTTAAAAAAACTATTCACTCCAGTCTTCTCTCTTCCTGTCATATAGATGAATCGTTCCTTGATTAAAACAGATTCCTATTGCAATAATGCTCGAAGCTGAGCGAAAACCGGGCCTTTCTTTATGTTAGAGAACAAAGTACTTCCAGTACGTTCATAATTTCTTTGAGAATTTTCGCTCTCATGTAGATAGCTATTCTTTTTGTAGCTACCCGTTATCTCCATCAATTTACTGTTCTTGGAAAATTTTCTTCACGGGTTGATATCATTATTGGAATTTATGTGGCTTTATCTGAGTCCGTTTTTCACTTACAGAATTTGATGGCCTAGGACTAGACAGAAAGATTAGATTTTGCTGTTTTTCTCATGATTAATTACTTTCTGATTTCTACTGTACTTGCCTTTTCAGCTCCCGAACAAAAAGTCTCACTAAAAAGACGATCTTTAGTTCTTCTCAAAAAAAATTATCTTACAGGAGGGTAATTTGTGTTCATTCAAGTATGTCAACGAAATTAGTAAATATCAGTAGGGCATAGAACCGCATCAAAACGATAGCCTGACCTCTGATGGTTTTTCAGGTTGTTCAGCTATCTGAAACAGCTATACGACAGACGAGAAGTGGTTCTACTGTTAGACAACACACGTACCCCATCTTATAAAAGCTAATAAAATCAGTTGTTTGTGCGATAAAAGTCATCAGCCAACATGCTTCTTTTTCTGCCTTTGGTGAGTATAGCTTGTCTTGGTTATCCGCTAGTCATTATTCAAGTTGCTCATGCCTACTGGACGTGCAGTTGCAAAGCTTTGAGTTGATCTCTAGTATCTCTCTCGTGAGTGCGTATTCAGGACAGGACAAAATTCGGGGCTGCTACCTTAGTGGGACCTTACTTCTACTGATTAAGAATTTTTTTTTTAAATCCTGGCCTGAAGTGAATTCAGGTAAATGCCGCTATCTAGGAGCGCAGTAGCTAGCAAATGACTGGGATCAGCGTCAGAAACCTTTGAAGCGCTTAGAGAATCGCTGAAAACTGGCCTCCAGTGATATTGTGGACAAAAGACCACGATTACCGTAACCGTATGTGAGTACAATATCCCTCAGCGCACCCCTGAAGCGACGGTTCTTTGATTCACAAAAGCAGAATTCGAGAGAAGTTCAGACAGGTTCCCAGAGATGGAGGTTGTGAATGGTGAGCAGTAAAAAATCTTCGAATGGAGACCCAGCTAAAAGCGAACTAAATAGTTTGGCTAGGCTCTAGTAAAGGTTGTGGACAAAGAATAAAGAAAGTTCGACATGCAAACTGTGAAAGTTCCATTTATGAAATAACTGGCTGTCTTAGGACCATGAACGTCCGCTGAACCTCTTAACTTACAATCGTTCGTGATCCTGAGGTGCCATTACTGCTTCTTTGTGTAAGAAAAGGTCGCCGCGAGCAGTGCCTTCTATCAAACGATACAACAGCCATAGCTCTACTTTGATTGCTAAAGTTTACGTTAATGAGATTAACAAATTTCAGGCCTTTCTCCTCTTTCGCGGTTGCAATGGGCAGCGTGAGTTCGTAGCAAAATTTAAAAAATTTTATCATTAAACTGTGTTCCATGAACAGCTTAATTTGAACAGGTTGCTCTCCTATTGACCAGTAGTCTCCCATACTGTTTGTCGACCACGAACCCAGCTTAAATATAGTTTTCTTTAATCTGCTTCTAAATTTTTTTATGATACAGCAAAAAAAGTTTTCCAATGCACTACAGCAAAACTAAAACAGCTGTTAGTCTTCAGTTGGAAATACAAAGTCGATGACAGCTCAGGCAGTTCAGTTGATCAACGAGTACAGACAGACAGTTGCAAATGGATCTGCATTCGATATGAGTGGAAATCTACCAAGCACTCTGTCCATGTTCCAGCTGGTAATGTTTTGACCATGAATTTGAATAGAAAATAGACTGATTAATAAACTTAGAGTTAGTTAGTTCGATTAGAAAATGAAATCCTCTTTTCTTAATATCATTTTTTCTCTTCCGCTATCTCTCCTTCGCTCTTTCTCTTGAGCGCTAATTCTTCACCTGACTGGCTCAAAGAACCCACAAATTCTGTTTGAGTGGCGAACTGGAATAGAGCTCAGATATGTGAAATGCTCGTCTTGATTATTGTGCCATCTACAACCTACTGTTGTCTCGAAAGGCACAGTTCACGACAAAAGTAGTTTTGAGCAGTCTTTGGTAGCAATCAGTGATCTTGCGTTGCTCACACGGGGTGGGGGGCATCATCATGTCGTCAAGCTGTTGAAATGAAACAAACAAGGGTTAAGAACTGTCCTGATGCTCTTCTCTCTCTATTCCCTCGAAAAAAAAGGACGTAATTACAGCTCCGCATAGGCTTGTATTGTTTTCAAAGTGGAGCACGTTTACTTCCAAACACAAGCTTAATGCTAGCACACGTTGCTTAGCAGCGCTTGAGGAAACCATGCTTAAACAGCTTTTTTCGTCGTTACACCTTGTTCATATTTATGAATGATTGAGTCTAAAAGTTTCTACACTAGGGAATTTCTGCATAATTCCCTGTTTTCTTCGCTAGTGATTATAAAGTCCGCTTCAGCACTTCTGCTTTGAAATTCAGAAAGAAATGTAGACGAAATTATAGGAGCATTATCTTCAGTTATTTTTTACTCAATCGATCTTCCGGTGAACTGCCCTTCCGAGCATTTTCTCCCAATTCAGTTCCGCAAAATTGACTTCACTTGCTTGCTCCACGTCCACCTTGCGTCTCGTCCCTTATTCCAAAAAAAAAGCTGAAATCAGTTTCTTCTTTGCTAATCGGAAGCTCCTTCATAAGACATCTTTTCAGCTGCGTTCATAGCTATTCCCAGCCTTACTTTTCGAAGCTTCTCTCTTGAGGTTGAAAACTAAAAGATAAAAACAAGAAAAGCAAGGAAAAAGGAACGCTCCCATTTTGTCCTGATAGTTCTTCAAATTATGGAGCCTTTTAGCCAGGGAAGGGTCTTTTATACTACATAGAGTGAATAGAATTTTATAAAACCTCAGTCTTTCGTAAAATCAAATAAGTTTCAGAAAGGGGACGATACGCTCTCCCTTATGGCTCTCACGACTGTTTTCTCCTGTAACGTAAGTAATCCTAAAGTTCAGCCAGGCTATTCGTTCAACGGTTATAGGTGAGTTTTCCTAAGATAAACCGATCATGCGATATTCCAGAGAATAAACGGTATCTTTGTATTTTTTTTCATCTATTTCTTTTTACAGTATAAGCTATTTACCGTCCAGCATGGATCCAACCACAATACTCGAAATCGCACTAGCCCAGTGGGAACAAGAGCCCCTTCTTTATGGAATTGGCGATAATGTGGTGTACAGTAACACAAAATTGAAAGAATGGGCTAATGTGAGGTTTTACTCGAGTTTTTTGCTACAGGTATAGACCAGCGTGAAAAATTCAGTAACAGGTAGAAGGTTGGTCCGTTCTATTATTATCAGTTGAAACTATTTTGGGAACAAAAAGTAGACCTGAAAAATGAATGCTACAAGGTGTCCCAAAGTAATGGGCGCTCAAATTCAGAAATTCCTAAGGTAGGGGTAAATTGTCAAATTAACTTCTCCCGCCATTAATTAGTTGCACGAGTAGGCTTTCTTGCAATATGCATGGTTACTGAAGTGGAACTCATAATCTCTCTCACAATCAGATGGCCGAGTCTGGGTGTGGTGCAGTAGGAACGAAATTGTCGCGTCGTGGCGAGTGACGTCGTGTGCGAAGGAATGTTGCAGAGTCCAACTGCAAGTAAGAAATACAGGAACAAAAGAACTAGCAGTAGGATATGGCAATAGTAATGGTAAAATCATAGCCGTATAGCGATTGAACCGTATGTAGGAACCTAGAACTTTTATCATGAGGCAAATGGTCCGCGACAGCCGCGTGCGGCGGATCGATTGCACAGGACCGTTCCTACTGTCCGGCTCCCGCCGAGATTCAGTCAATTGCAATTTGCAATCACTGGCATACGAGAGGCGGAAGGGCACTATGCAAATCGTTGAGGTTCCTACAATATTGATACGGAAGGCTATCAAACGATATGGGGAAGAAATTTCAAACAAAGTCAAACAGGAAGGGGTTGAATAGTCAGTGTTTCCTAAGATAGGATTATCAAAATGATTCGTTTGCGTGTTGATCGTGATCTTGGGTGACCCATCCAAACCACTGCAAAGGAGCAGTGGTTTGGATGGGTCACCCAAGATCACGATCAACTATTCGAAGTCATCGCTGGGGCGAATTGCTGAGCAGAAGCTTCACTGCCATACCTATCGTGTGCAGAAATGCCACATCATTTCCGATCTCAACAGACAGTGTAGGGCTAAAAAATGCAGAAGGTTGCCGACTCACCTAGATGGGGAAACGCACACCTTCGTCGTCCTCTCTAGCTAAAATTATTTTACAAGAAAACCATTCCTCAACGACTGAAACGATCACATTCTGGCTATAAACATCGAGCTTGCAATCTATCACAAGAAAGCTCTTATAAGAAGAGTGAAATGATATTTTTAAGGGAGTCACTGGCAAGGGTGGAAGGCTCGTGGTTCCGACGGTGCCGGCGTGAAATTTGATAACGACCAGTACTCTGAGGACCTACTGATGGCGTAGTGGAGCACTGATCCGAATCCGCATTCTGAGATAGGCAGTAGTCTTTTTGGCAGTACGGTACTCTAGCCCACAGAGCCAAGCTCGCCCGTGAGTGGTGCTGAAGCTAGTTGCCCGACTTCATTGGCAAAGAGGAATGGTCATCCTATTTTCCAGATCTTGACTGACTCACTTGACTCATCCACTTGACCCCATATGGTCCCTGATTAAGAGGATCTGTCCAGTTTGCAGTCCCAGTCTGGAGTCCTAGAAAGCAAGGCTGAAGAACGGCTGAGAAGAAATGGGGAAGGGTACCCGCGTGCAACATGCGATCAGTCGAGAGCAAACTTTGGGCCACGATCCGCGCTCATGGGAGATATTTTGAAATGTGATTGTAGCACATACTGTTAGTAAACGTGCATATGGATTCCTTTGACATTCACAGGTGAGAAGCTTTGAATACATTGCCTTGAATTGGCGCCCATAGTTTTGGGACACCCTGTATATCTTGCGAGTCGCTCGATGTGCGGTGTTGGTTACGGAGGTGTATAGCACTATTCTCTGAGTGGTTTCTCCATGCCTTAATCATGCTTTGAGATTGCAAGCTAGCATCCAAATAACTTACTAACTCCAGACATTTTAAATTAAAATTTTCCTCGATATTCCCGTTACCGTCATTCATGCTGAAATATTAAGACCCACCTTCAATATGGTCTTCTACTCGGTGTCATATTCAGATAAAATGTACACACAAGGATGACGAGCTGTGGACAAAACTTCGGCCCAGACTAGACTCGAACCTTTAATTGAGCTCTCCGGGCACCGCGCTCCTTATCCTTTTTGCTAAAGAGACCACGCTTGCCCCGTTTTTCACATTGGCCAAATGCTGGGAAGATGTATCTGCAGTTAACAACAGCATCAACAGTCAAAGCCGTATTCTCCCATAAATGTTTCCCATAAATGGACTCGGTTTTGTACAAACTGCCTGAAAGCTCGAAGGTTTCCATTTGCAGATGGTTTACTACAAGTCTACTAAAGTTGGTTGCTATTATAATCTATGCAACACAACGGGACCGACAACACAAGCAATCGCTTGCTTGTTCAACATGGTGTGAGTTTTTCCTTCGCGAAATATTTACCATAAATAGTAGCCATGGGTGCTGTAGCTGGCAAGCGTGGCATACTATATGACACTTTTGTTCCGAGGATCGGATACCGCTTCGACATCCACACAGGCCAATCCTCCACCACTGTGGGGTCGTTAATCAGTACCAGATTCGTTTAGGGGGATAAAAGCACTGATTCGTGTTCTAGGAGAAGGGACCAACCTCGAGAAGCTAGAAGCGCCTGGGGCCTCATTGGAGTGGTTGAGAGTCCTCTAAGATAGTTTTTTCCTTCCCAGGCTTCGATATAGTGATCTATACGATAATACTTTCTACTATTGGGAATAAATTCGTAAAGGGGTTGGCTATCTGGTTTCGGCTACTTCTGGAAGGTCTACTTAGTTCCAGATAATTGACGGCCAACTTGAGCGTGGCTGCGAGCAGCAATTCGAAAGTGGTTGGGTGTTATTTATGATTGACTCAACTAAATGAGCTTTCACGAAAAAGTCTCAATCAATTCCTTCTGTACCTAGGCTGAATGTGAAATAACGGCTGCAAATCCTTACGGATACGGTAAGGGTAAGTAGAAGTAGATACTCGATATTTGACCGATGGAAGCCATCAGACTAAACCCTTCGAGGGCTCTGACCTAGCGATTCGGTGAGCTCAATTTTCTAGTCAACCCTTCAAGGTGCCCAAAAAATGTACACGTCGAGAGCTATCCCAGAAATTGATTACCGGAGAGAGTTATCCAGTGATTCCTTCTCCTTCGAAGAGGAAATTGTTTTGAATCTTACCAATCAACACCTGCATGCCCAGAAACATCTCAAGAATTGAGGTAGACATTGAGGATTTGTGCAGGACCATTGGCAGGACCTTTTCAGTGAAGTTCACATGCATCTGGTTGCAAGGATGAGCATTAGGACCACTTATGGATTTAAGGGGGAGTGATCTTACTCAGAGTCATGCCCATCAGTCCGCAGTGCTTTAGCAGTTCAAAGCCTGCTGCCATTACTCATTAGGTGCACACCACTCTTGGCCCTCCTGAGCAACAGTTCCCATGAAAAGGAGTTTTTTAAGAAGTAACTATCTTCTGTAGGACGCTAAACTGTAGATAGTAACATAGGGCTGATTTCTTTTCATTTTGAAGAAGCACTTTGAGAAGAGAAAAATCTTAGCAAAAACCTGGATCGTGAATTCAGCCTGATCTTTAGAAAGAAACTCGCCGTGGATTCTGCTATATTGAAGTTTGTTTTTATTTGATTAATTTACATTTAGACCACAAGAGAACCAGCCGGTATACAATCCAACTCAAGGAGTTGATGGATGTAATTTGGATGAAAATTGTAGTGGAAAGCTTCCCGGATCCACTTGCGTCAAAACAAATGGGAACGGAATGTATGCAGGCCTTTGTGATCCTGAAGGGGCGTCATTTTCTAGTACGTTCAGCAAAACTTTTTCTGTCCTAGCTAAACTTTGCCAGGAGCATTAGTATTGAAGCATTCTGAGTATTTTTAGCATCAACGGCCGCAACCACAGCGGCATCTACAGCAGGAAGTTCTTCAACTCCCCCTACTACTCCAGTAAAGTCAACGCCCTCAACAAAAGAGACGTCTGGATCAACGCCCTCTACAAAAGCGACGTCTGGATCAACGCCCTCAACAAAAGCGACGTCTGGATCAACGCCCTCAACAAAAGCGACATCTGGAACAGCATCGACTCTTGGGACGAAAATGACGTCCGGAACAGGATCGACTTCGGGAATGAAAACGTCTGGAACAGCAACGACGCCTGGAACAACAATGGCATCTGGAACAACGGCGACACCCGGACCAACAACAACACCTGGCACACCTCTTACTATGACAGCGGCAGTCCGCGACAAGATCATCAATATGCACAACTATCGTAGGTATGTTTCTTGTGAGCAAGCTCAACCGCCCACGAGGTCGACCATTACCCAATCACTTTCTTTGATTTATTTTCTTTTCGTGATTTTTATGAGACTAGCAAGGTGGTTCACAGGCGAACCCACTAGCAATTTAGAACATTACTAATCAAATTAACAGCTGAAGCACTTCCTTCACTATTCCCTCCCCTCTCTCCACACACTTTCAACGCCATGGTAATGCTTTGGGCGTATCCCATTCCTTACTACGGGATGAATGAGGCGTCTGAATGGACTAGGGGAGAGTGGAAGGGCTGTAAGATTGTAGTAGGAAACGGTGCCTGAATTCTTCTGGGAGCGACGCGTTCCCGAGCTACTCTGTCAATTCTGTACTTCCAATCTTTGGTTCTCTGACGGGGAACACAGTAAGGCAGCGGTCGTTCTAAGACTACTTTTCTTTCCCATCTGAGCAAGTAGAGCACAGGTTTGGTGCAAGTCGCAACAGCTGGGGAATGGGGAGGATTCTCAGTCTGGTGAGACTCAACTGGGACTTCTTAAAAGCTAATTGCCTTGCCAGAGCAAAAGCAAACTGGTGCCCGAGCTACTCTGTCAATTCTGTACTTCCAATCTTTGGTTCTCTGACGGGGAACACAGTAAGGCAGCGGTCGTTCTAAGACTACGTTTCTTTCCCATCTCAGCAAGTAGAGCACAGGTTTGGTGCAAGTCGCAACAGCTGGGGAATGGGGAGGATTCTCAGTCTGGTGAGACTCAACTGGGACTTCTTAAAAGCCAATTGCCTTGCCAGAGCAAAAGCAAACTGGTGAAAAGTGAATCGCAAAAACTATGTACCATGTAAGTTGTAGGTGAATCGAAGTGAGTGAGGCAGGCATATTCGAAATAATCGGGGGTGATACCGACCAGCACGTACAATGGACCTAATCCATTTGAGTGCAATTTGAGAGAGGAAAAAACTCGTTATGCAGAATGCGTTTAGGTAAACATAATCCTAAAGCAAAGTCGCAATTTTTGTGTTGTTACAGATCAAGACTTGCCCAAGGATTGGTTCCGAATGGTACTACAGGCAAAAACTTACCTCAAGGAACGGATATAGCTCAAATGGTGAGCATTTCTTTTATAAATAATGAATGGCGACTGGACGACTAGCAAGTTTGCTCTCTAGTTTCACTGTACAGCCTCATCGCCCTCACATAGTTCAGGTGCCCTGTGGTGTTGAAGGGGTATATCCATGAATCGAAGCATTTTTCGGGGGTTACTCAGTTATAAATGGGCCCATTTGGCTTACGTTTTGTCCTTGTCCTTGTCGCCGTCAGCAGAAGCTAAAAGGATGAGAGCTTCGTCAGAAACACCTCCTCTGAACACATCAGGACTGACCGATTACTCTTTTGTCAATCGTGGCTGCTCTGCCAGCTGAACTGCCCGTATCTGAAACTTCCCATTTTTATGTATTGTAAATTTTTGCTATTTCTAGTTGTACAACCAGACGCTTGAGCATGCGGCGCAGGATTATGCGAACACCTGCCCAAAAGGACTTTCACCTGTATCATCACGTGAGGGCACGGGCGAAATTTATCAGTCTCTTCCATCCAATACCTTGGCATTAATGGACGTTATAGAAGCGGTATAATTATTATAATTATATCATACTTCCAGTTTCTTTATCTATTTGTTTACATCTACAGGCATTAAAAGCATCCTGGCATCCAATCATGGTACATGGCTTTGACCCGAGTTTGGAATTTACAGATTTGACTCCACATCTAGCTAATGCACCACTTATGTTCACTCAAGTGAGTTTAAATCCAAATGAAATTGCTAATGTACGATGCCATACGGTAACATTCCCCACCGCTTTAGTATGGGCTCCCTAGCATAAAAAGGCTGTTGTCATATGATAGCTATGAGGCTTATGACAAATAGTTCCCGTTCACGTTAATATCCCTAAGAGTGCAAGGGAACTCAGTAAAGGGGGTGTTTCAATAAGCAATTCTGGAATAACACCCAGAAACGATCTCTAATTTTTATTTTGAAGACTGAGTCAGCAGTCTAGTGCCAAGTTGCACACTACCACGTTATGATCTGGGAATCAAAACGAATTGGTGTTTGTCCGGGCACGCATTCCATCGTTATGAGATCACTTGGTTGGTATCAGATCCGTTCAGAAACTTCAAAGCACTCAGTTGTAAATTTGTCCTTTATGTTGAGTCATAGTATAGACCTATACGCATTCAAAACAGGCTACGATTCTGAATGGGAGTCAAGTGCGGGGCGTGTGCCCAAATAGGATTGATCATAACTAGAGCTACAAATTCTTTACACATCAACATCGGTGTAGTGACTTAAGTTATCCATCCTCTCCTATCTCCACCATTTTGCCTTATGACCTGTCAGATTCACCATTAGTGCTTTGTTGACAAAGTTGCTTTGATTGTTTATA